GCATGCCCAGAAAGGCAGAGATCAATTAGGGGTCTCTTGCAGGACATGAATGGTTTGATCTCGATGGTTTTATTTAGATGAAGAAGGCTGCCAGGTTGGGCCATATTTACTGTCCCAAACTCGGAAACACTAAAGAAAGCAAATTCTGTCCAGAAACAGGAGCATTCCCTCTCCTCTGCTTCTCCCTTTCTCCAGCTCCTGTGAAGCAGAGGGCACATCACTCATTTATCAAATAAACTCAGACAAAAGCCAGCTTGGGGAAGCCCAGCTCTGAACAAAGCGAAATAACGAAGATGCCTTCACAGGGTGTCACCTACTGACCCCACTGCTGGGATCCCTAAGGGAGCAGAAAGAGGCACTGTCCCTTTAGAGCTGGCCAGGGAGCAACTCAGCATGCCTGATCTCTGTTTGGGAGCAACCACAGCCAGAAGGAAAACAACTGTGGGCTGTAGCGGGACAAGGGGAGATTTCCTGAAGCCTGCTGTGGAGTAAACACTCAGCAACCAGAGATGAGACAACAAGGGACCCTCCAGTCCTGAGGGCTGTGCAACCAGATTTAAAAATAAAACCTTCAAGAGGGAGAACTGGCTTGTCCAGGACCTCAAAAGAGCCAGCATCCCCCTGAGAGAGGGAGCGAGCAGCAAACCACCAGCCCAAGGCAGCCAGGAAACGCTGCAGCAGGAGCCAGACCCACAGCTCAGCCACAAGAGAACAGGTCGGCTTAGGATGGATGAAGCCGGCTGGGGAGTTAAATTTAGACAGGTAAACATACTGAGGGGAAGAGATGGGGTTCACACAGCCCTCACCGTCTGCTGCTGCCAGGCCCTGGGGAGGATCCTTCAAAAAAAACACCGTGGGGATGGGGCACCTCAGAATAGGGCTGTTGGGGGCAAGTGGGTTGGGAGCACCCAATCACAAGGGCATTTTTCCCCCATCATTTGCTCTAAGCATCTGCCTGCCAGGCAAAGTCCCCAGGAAGCAGGAAAGCTGTTGAGAGAAGCATGGAGGACTCTGCAGCCTGAGGAGAGATGCAAGTCCTGGCTACACATGGTGCAGTGGGACCTTGCAAAGGAAACATACCAGGGAAAACCCAATGAGAAACACAGGGGCCACAGCACCAGTGTAGCCATTTGGGTGTCAGAGCCCTGATGAGCTCCCTTTCTGAAGGCAAAAAAAGGATAAAAGAAGCAAGAACAAGGAGCTGGTCCTGTAAACTCAGCCAAACTCTATCTTGAGTCATCCAGGCCCCGAGACCTGGAAGAGACACACAGCACTCCTTTCCCCGCACTGCCTGCAGCCCCACAGCAAGCCATTAAAGCTCACTGCCCATTTTACAGCTCCCAAGGACAAGGGAAGCATCCCCACACTCACACAAGACTGCCCCCCACAACGGGCTCCCCTCACAAAGCGCTCCCACAGAGCACGGATGTGCACTGACAAGGCACACGAGAGCATCCCCACTTGGTGGGTACTGCTGTGCTGAAAAGCCACAATCCGCTCTCAGTGACCCCGTCGCTCCACCTCAGGCAGAGCAGGGGAAGGCTTGTGTAAGCTTCACCAAGGCCTAAGCCAGAGCTTGGAAGGGGGCGGCGGATCACAGGGTCTGGGCTGGTCTCTAATTCTGTCCATATGGTCTCAGCCAGTTACCTCTGCAGTGAGCCCAAGAACTTCAGTAAAGAGCCTCTTCTAAAAAGACACCCAGTCTTTATTTGAAGATTTTAAGAGCTGGAGGAGCTAAGGTTGCCTTTGGTCGTTTGTTCAGATGGTTAATCACCCTGCTGTTAAAAACACCGCCTGTTTCTAACAGAGCTTAAATGCCCAGCCACATGCCTTAAGTTCTCTCTCCTGAATTAGAAAGCTCTCCGAGCACCCTCAGAACTGCTGAAAGCGCTCAGGTATCACACCATGTTCTTTCTGAAACGCTACCTAGGTCTACATTCCTTAAATCTCGCATTAGAAAAGGATTTTTTCCAGTCCAGCAGAAATTCCCCTGAGTCCTCTCTGCGCTGCCTTCAGTTTTAATGAAGTCTGTATGCCTTTCCTCAGCAAGCAAAGGTCCCTTTCTATGCAAAAGTGGAATGAAATCACAGACTGCCCTGTCTTACATAACAACAAGCCTTGGCTATGCACATCCTGATTTTAAAAGTTCTGTGTTTCAAAGTCTCTCCAAAATGCTCAGTGTGTGTGCGCGCAATTTATTTGGAAATGATGAAATGGTTTTCACTCGAACTTTGATCAGCTGTTAGAAAAAAAGATCTTATGAATAGAAACAATTTATATTCATTTAAATGAGCAATCATGCAGTTTTCAGAGAATAACTGGTTTCCCTGCGCGCCTTGAAACCCAAACCCAACAACTTCAGGACAAAAGACGAAAGATGTGAAGCAGTCCAGAAACAGAGAGGCCTACTGGGCCAGAGAAAGGGACAAATAGCTTAAAGGTGACTGCACTGATTTATTAATTTTTAAAAATTTCATGGTATTTGATCTCTTCCTAAAAGACCAAGCTCCTGGAGACTTTGCTATACAAGAATGTTAATTTTTCTTAAAAAAAAATAGGACCCCCCAACTTTCTAGACTTTTCAAAACTTCCATTTTTTTCAATTGATGTCGTGAATTCTGGCAGATTGGGAGGGAAGAGGCTGAGAGAGAAGGCTTCTCAGGGCTGGGAGCCTGTAGCCACGACTTCAGCTTTAGCTTTCCTAAACAGAGGTCAGTCACATGTACATTTTCATTGTACATGCACTAGAAACAAGGCAAAGGACGGAGGGGCTTACAGCTTACAGCTACCAAGAGGAGAGGAGTGCTAATAGTGAAGGAGCTAGGGAGAGACTCCTTTCCAAAAGGAAGAAATCTCTCACAGACAATCCTGGGCACAGAAACGTGAGTGACAGAGCCTGTGAACAGAGAAAACCCACAGCTGGAACAGGGCCAGCTTACTTCCCCAGCTCTGCCTCCTACCCCACACTGGCAGCTCAGCCTCACACTTTTCTCTCCATATACTCAGCAAATTTCTTTAAAAAAGAAGGAAAAAACCTGAGTACTTAGGCTAGCTTCACTGCACATACGGCAACTAATCCCTCACATTGGACACTTGGGGTAAAAAACATTCCACCTGAATCCCTGCAGTGCCCAACCTTCATGTTGGATAAACCCAGGTGTCCATGCACAGGACATGCACAGGTTTAAGAAAAGTGTCTCTCTAGCCAACTTCAAGAAAGCCCACTTCTTTCTCTTCTGGAAAGAAGAGCACATATCCAACTTGGTTCTCAACAGCATCTGTGTGACAGAAGACAGGCACCTGCAGGTGAAACCTCCCACCACCAGAAAAAGTGATCCCTTCAGCTCACATGTCAATGCCCAGCAGCAAACACGGGAAGGAAGGACAATGACAGGCTTACACTTGAGTGTTGGTCTAAACCTTAGGGGAAGGTGAGGAAGGCATTAGAAACCTGCATGCACCAGGCAGGCTCTGAAGGGACAGAGAGATGAAGGTGAGTGCAAAGGAGAGAGATACCTTGTGTGCCCTTTGTATGTGTGTGCCCGAGGCTGTGTGGACACAAAAGCCCAAACAAAGGGCAATAGGAAAGAGCTCCTCACACATAGGCAGAGGAGGAAGCATCCATGCAAAAGACAGCCTGCACGTGCAGGTGATGTGGAGTACAGCAGATTACACTGGAAACGTGCAGGTGCACACAAGGAATGCGATGCACAAGCAACCCAAGTTTTTGGCTAGGAAGAAACTGAAGCAAGAACAAAAGTGCTGGTATGTATGTGTGGAACAGCTCTGTCAGAGAAAGCACCACAATCCCAAAGATGAACAGGTGAGTATGTGGGTGCAGGAAGCAGGGAATTAAGAGGAAGATGAAAGTTGGATAGAGAGACTGACAGAGACATTCACCTGATGGCAGAGGAAAACTACCAAAACCATGAGGCAACCAAGTGTATGACAGCACACAAAAATATGTTTGGGGAAGTTATTTTACCCCTATCACTAAGGGAAGTATTGCACTGTAATTCCCAGAAAAAAAACCCCAAGTTTCATAAAACAGCGTGTTTCTTACAGACATAACTGGGATGCTTGTGCCCTGGTACTGTGAAACCGGGAACACCATTACTACTCATCTGTGTTTCCATGCGCACAAGCACCCTTTCCCACTCCACATGCCATGGCCTGTGCCACACCACAGGCACGTGAGAGAGAAGGACAGTGTGGGCTGGGGGCTTGGGTGCTCTCTGGAAAGCAGCTGTGCTAACGCTCAGGGAAAGGGTCCTCATCCGAAAGTAACATCCCTGTGCCCCAAGTAACGTCCATCTTACTGGAGTAACATCTGCTTTGCTGAACTCATGTCTGTCATGCCTGAGGAACATCTGTTTCACCAGCACAGTGTCTGCCACCCCAGAGGAGCATCCCTCGCACCCCAGCAACATCCCTACTGCCGGAGGGTGACCTCTTACGCCCCGGCAGCGTCTGTCCTGTCACAGCAGGTCTCTCCCACCGCAGCAACTCCACCAAGGCCACCCCGGGGCCACCCCGCAGCCGGCCGTATTCCAGCGCTCCGGTCGCCCCTCCGCTGCTCCGTGTGGCGGGAGGGCTCACCCGGGGGCCCCCCGACAGCCCCTGCCCGCGGTCGGGGCCGTCCGCCGCGGGGGCTCCGCGCAGCCCGGACCGCCCGATCCCCGCGACCCCCGCAGCCCCTGCCCTGCCCCGCCCCGACCGGCGGCCGTGACGGGCCGGGGGCGCCTCCGGGCCGCGCCGCCCGGGGTCGGCGGCGAAACGCTGCCGTGTCTCCCGCGCTGCGAGAACTGAGAGACCCCCGGCACTGCCCGCGCTGCCTCCCGCCCCTTCGGGGGCCGCCCGGCGGAGGCGTCCGGCCCCGGGACGAGACGAGCGCGGGGGTCCGCACCGCCCGGCGCGGAAAAACACCTCCCGCCCCCCGGCCTCCTCCTTCTCCTCCCGCCGCCGCCCTCCCGCCACCGCGGGCCGGGGCCGCCTCCTACCTGCATCTCCCGGGCGCCGCGTCCCCGGGCGGCGGCGGCAGGTGAGCGGGCGGGCGCGGCGGGCGCGGGGCTCCGCGGCGTCGCGGCGTCCGGAGACCGCGAGGGGACGCACCTGCCCCGGGGGCCGCCGCCCCGGGCCGAGCCCCCCGCCGGCTGCGAGAAGGGAGCGGGGGGAGGCTGCCGGCGCTGCCCTCCCCGTCGCCGCGGCGGCGCTGGGCTCCGCGAACGGCGGCACCGAGGGCGACCTCCCGGCCGAAGTTGGCGGCGGCGGCGAGTGCCGGGCCCGGGAGGTGCCGGCGGATCCCGGGGGCTCCGGCCGCCTCCGCCCCGCCTCCCCCCGCCCCGCGCCCGCCCCCCGCGCCCTGCGCCCGCCCCGCCGCGGGCACCGCCGCCGCCGCCGGGATGGGGCTCGCTGGAGGGGGCGAGGCGGCCCGGGGATGGGGCGGGCGGGGGGCTGGCCCGGGGGCGAGCTGCGGACCCGCTGCCGTCGGGGGGGGCCCGTGCCGGCGAGCGGAGAGGACGACGGGGAAGGAACGCTGCCGTCTCGTACGCTGAAGGCGACCGGGCTGGCTCCCTCCCTCCGGCCCCTGTAGCCCTCCGGTCCCTGCCGCCCCGGCAGCGCAGCCCCCGCAGGGACGCTCAGTCACTCGTGGGTCGCTCCCAGCGCATCCCTGCGGTGCTCCCTCCCTGGCTGCCCGGCCCCACCGGCTCTAAGTGTCCAGCCCGCTCCAACCGCCCCGAGCTGCCGACAGCTCCGTGCCCTTCCCTTCTCGTTGGGGGGGCACCACGGGCACCCTGCTCATGTGGCTTCTGCCCCGGGGCCAACGTGCTGGGAGCCAAAACCCCTCCGGTACGTTAGCGCGGTTCCTGGCTCCCGCCAGCGGAGGGATTTTGACCTGGTGACCTACTGCTTCATCCGAGCAGCGATTTTTGGCGTCTGTCTCCCATGCGTGTGGGGGGCCGGGTTGCAATGAAGGTGTGAATGAGGCAAAGCCTGGTTCAGGGATGCTGTTAAAATAGGCTGGCAAAGTTTGGCAGAGGAGACAGTGCGTGAAGCTCTTGATGGGGCTGGCTCTCAACAAGCACATCCATCCCTTGCCTGCAACACCAGGAATCACACTGGAGGATCTCCCCCACCCCTCTTCCCATAAAACTTCACAGATTCACAGCCAGACCCTGTTCTCACTTTTCCTGGCAGAAGTAGGGAGTAGCTGCACAGGCATTAGCAGGATCACTGCAAATTTATGTTGGTGTAACTGAAAGCGGTGCCTAGCCCCCAGGATTGCTGGGCATCTCAGTACATGGAGACAGGATTTACTTGTCTGGCCTCTGAGCTTGGTGACAGCTCTGCAGCAGCCAACAAAGCCAGAAGTTACACTTGTTGTGTCCAGATCCCCATCTTCGGGCCCCACACTGTCAGGCATCCAAAGTCCCTCTGCAGCAGGAGCTGCAGAGCCTCACATGTGGTGCAAAGAGCACCTTGCTGCTCTTACACCTAAACAGACTCTCACATATAAGGATCCAAACAGAATTACACGAGGAAAGCGTTTTCCCCCTTGGAATACCTCAAATTTGTACTGGCTTGGGACACAGTGCAGCTTGAGGCACAGACCCCTACGTGAGCACCTTGTTTCAAACAGCTCTGAGCATCCCTTTGGATTCGGAGCGTAAATACTCACGTGAGCACTTTTAGAGGAGCAGCTACGTGTTTGAATACAGGCTACACACTACGAGTAATTGAAGGATCCTTAATTTATGGCCAACTGCAACAGTGTTTCCCATCACTGTAGTCATTAATGATACTTTCTTTTAATGGGGATAGGAGATAGAGGAGGTACAGCTGGAGGTAAATAGTAACCCAGTGTTTGTGGCAGGAAATAAGGAGCCATTGTCCTCAGTGCTATATAACTAGAAAGATAATAGTTGGTACAGCAAATACCAACTAATTAGAGGGCAAAGGAAGTCTTGAAATTGCAGCTGGCTGCAGGAAATTTTAGGTGCCAGCTTTTTTGCTCCAAGGTAAAGCCTGTTTACCATATGGGCTCTTGTTCTCTGCTTGTCTGCCGAACTTGCACCTTAAGGCTGCAGAGGGGAGGAGCAAGGTGCTCCTTTGGGGACCCAGAAGACAGCAGGGTCCCCTCCTGAGGACCTGGAGGTGTGGAGTGTCACAGAACTGAGACTTGGTAACAAATTGCTTGGTCTGTTGAGTAACACACTTTTCCACTTTGGGTGCTGTGAGGCACAGCTGGCCACAGCGAGTCATTAGGCCAGAGATTCTCATTGGTCCTTACAGGAATTCTCCTGGGGCTGGCACTGCTTCACACCTCAAGACGGTGTCCGACATCAGGGTTAGAGGGAGCAGAAGGGGAAGGCAGACACACTGTAGGACCACCAGCAGAGACAGATGGGCAGGACTGGATACGTGTGCTCCCTAAAACCTCCAGCTATGAGCCATGGGGATTATTCAAAAAAGATACTAGATGATTGAAAGACCATGCTGGCTTCAGCATAGTCCGTGAGGAAGATGGGACTTCCTGCAGCTTTAATCCATCCTTGATGTCTCCACTCCTTCTTTGTTGGGAAAAGAAGAGCTATTGGGAGGTACATATGTGTGTGTCAGGTGGTGCTGGGTGCCCGGGAGAGCAGGAAGGAGGGCTGGGGTTATGCACCTCAAAAATTGGGTGAGGGTGGTTCCCTGGCTTACCGCTTGAAGAGCTGGAGAGGAGGTGAGACATCCTCAGCCAGCAGTAACGAGGTGCATGGCCCATCTCAGAGGTGTGTGTCTCACAAAGGGGAAGACCTGGCACTGCTGCCAGTGCTGAGGACAAAAACCCACAGAACGAGTTGGTCATGGTGTTGGCATGGGTGGGTGACAACAGGAGACCACCTGCTGCTTTACTTCACTTTGCCCTCTCTACTGAACTATCTTTGGTGTTTTTCTTCTTTTTTGGAAGGAAAAAAGTTGGTTGCCTGCTTTTCTTCTAGTTTTCCCTGCAAGATTGCTTTATCTTCCATCAAAACACCGTCCTATGAATGTCATTCCATAGTTTTTGTCCGTTGAAGCTGTTCCTCCATCCACAGAGCAGGGCGGATGAGAAAAGGGCACTTGTATCCAGCCAGGGGTGATCCTCACTAGGCATCGGGAAGGAGGGGCAACAGCTGCCAGTAGGAGGGGCTCCTGTCTAGCCTCAGCTGCCAAAGGTGTTGTCCGTATGTTCTTCAGAAGATGTCCCAGTATGATTAAGTCTCACTGATTTAATAATGAGCAGTCCCCTCAACTGGAGCTGGGCAGGATGTGGACTCTGGTCCATGACTAGAATCTCGGATGTGACTAGTATTGGGGGCAGACACTGTCACAGCACACCCAAGGAAGATGTTACTTCTGATCAATTGCAAGAGGTAACTTAACCCATGCCCTGGACAACACAAGCTGTTTTACTTCATCTCACTGAAACATTCCTATGGCTCCAGGTGTCCTCACGCTACTCTTTCTCTCCTGCTACAGTAATGGATGTTGTGTCACTCACCTCACTGGTCTCTGCTGCTGGGGAGCAGGAAGAGGGTGGGGAAGTGCTCAAACTGTTTGAGGTGTGGAAATACTCAGCTCACTTTGCAGTGGAGAAGGGCAATTTAAAATGTATGAGGAATAGAAGTCCCTCTCAGTTAAGGGCACGACCCTGCAGAATATATTCAGAAACAGGAGACCTCATCACTAGAAACTCTGCCATGTGGCTCCAACTCTTCTTAGAGTAGATGTAGCCCAGTCTAGCATTTCTGTGGTGCTCATAAGCTCTGATATCTTGTGGAGTTTCTTCCATCCCTGTTGCATCTGCACAATAAGGTTCCCTCTGGTCAGCTGGTCCTGTGTCCTCTCTGCACGCAGGGCAGAGCCAAGGCAGAGATGATGCCTATTCTGTGACAGCTTTCAAGGAGAAGCAGTACTCACTATGCTTCTTTCATTGAGGTGGACCTTCTTTTGTCCTTTAATTACCACTTGCCCCATACTCCTATGGTGGGATTACTAGCAGTAGCAGAAGCAAGCCAAAAGGAGTGAATTTGTGAGGAACAAGACACATTTCTAGCAGTGAGATTGTTATGAGTCAAGGTGGAATTCATGGAATAAAAATCTGGAAATGAGGAAAAAAAAAATAATCTTGAGCTCCTGCCAAAGGAGGGCTCATTCCAGACAAGCTACCTGATCTGACCTGCCTCGCAGGTGTGAAAACCTTCATTGACCCACCCCCACATTCTCTACCTGCCCCTGCAAACACCAAAGGAAACCACCGCCTTATTCCCAGCCGCTGCCCTCGTGGGAAGCAGCCAGTTTCCTTGAGGCATAAAGCTCATGACCTGAGAATTTGTGGCACTCCACAAAAGGAAATATAGGCTAAACTTCTGAAACATTTTCTAATGTTGACGTCTTTCAAGCGGTAGAATCGTCTCCCCAGGGACACGTGGATGCTCCGCTCCTTGAGTCAGGGAGACAGGACTGGACAATGCAGAGGGAGACGTATTGTTGGGAACCTCACTGCTCCGGTCCCAGGGAGAGACAACGAGGAGGGGAGAGGAAATAAATTAGATGACTTGAATCATTTCCAGCTCTAATTGCTATGATTTTGCAGTAGTTTTCCCAGCCCCAAGTATAACATTAACCATCGAAGCACGATTTCACCCACGGTCAATTAAACCAGGATTCATCTGGCCTGACATCACCAAGTAAAATGCATCCTGGATTCAGGGACACCCTGCTGAGAAGAGACAGGAGCCAGATAGGGGCTCCACGGGGTGGGCAGCAGTTGCTGCCTTTGGAGGTGGACATCTCCAAGCACGCTCTTGCCCTCTGCCAGCTCAGGGCACAGAGGGCGGTGCAGCAACTGTATGATGTGCAAAAGCCTTTCCTCACCTCAGTGATGCACTGGTAGGGTCGCTGGGACTGATCTCCCCATCTGGATGGTGCTGCTGGCTGGGAGGGCTGCTCCAGAGGTCAGATGGAGACAGCCTGCAATGCTGGCTGATGTGTGCAGCCCTGCCAGAGGCAGG